TGTGTGAAAATAACCCAAATGTTTACCAGTAGGGAATGGATAAACACATTGTGTATACTGATACAATGTAATTCTAGTTGGCAATAAAAATGAACTATTTAATATATGTAATAACAAGACTGAGTCTCAAAAAATAATTATGCTGAGTGGCAGAAGCCAAACTAAAAAAATAAAAAAGTAGATAATATATGATTTCATACATTCTCATAAGAGACTGGTACAGAGGCTGGACAGATGAGAGTTTCAATCCCCACTCTGCCTTTTAATGGCTGAATAAACTCTGGAGGATCACTCACTCTCTCTGATTCTCGGTTCCCCCCCCATCTTGTCAAATGGGGATAATTACACCTATAATTAGTTAACCTCCTGGTGCCTCAGTTTACCCATCTGTTCAATGGGGATACTAAAATTACCAACTTTATAGGGTTGTTAAGAAGAACAAAGGAATTAAATTTGTAAAGTGCTTTAGAATTAGGTCTGGCACAAATTAAGTGCTTCAAATTTATTTAATAAATATTTAATGAGAACTGGGATAGGGCAGGCTGATTTTGAGGATTACTGTGAACAGATGCTGTCCCTGCTCCTATAAGGCTGTCTGGCTGGGGAAAAAAAAAAGTCCCCAGAGCAGAAATGTTTCCAAGGAGAAGTACTGTGTAAGGGGAGGGAGTCAGGCCACGGGCTACACTGAGAGCTTCCCTGAGGAAGTGACATTAGTTAAAACCTGGACTTTTACTGGTAGAGCTTTGGGGCTCTTTTTTTTTTTTATGTTCTGTTAATCACCATACATTACATCATTAGTTTTTGATGTAGTGTGCCATGATTCATTGTTTGCGTATAACACCCAGTGCTCCATTCAGTACGTTGGGGCTCTTTTTCAACTAGCACTGGTCTTTTTCTGCTTGGTTCTGTTTGGAGTTTCCTGGTGCTGGGAAGCAAGTTCCTGGGGCTTGATATTCAGAGGCAAAAGGAAAGGAGGCTCTTGGGGTTGCTAACAGGCCTGTTCTGATCTACTAGAGGAAGGCCTGAAGCCGGGGAGCGTAGGGCTCTAGACACAAGCACTTCTGGGACTCACTACCAGGCCAGCAGGCTGACTTCCCCGCTAGTGGCCCAGTGGGAGGGAAGAACAGGATCCAGGAAAGAAAAATGTCATACTCTGCTTTGTCCACGGGGTGGAGTATTTTAGCCAAAGAAGGGACCTTTGGAGGCGGTGAAGTCCTAGTTGCTGGACTTGTCCAGAGTCACGCCCATCGAACCCTCCTCCTGCAGGTACCTCACCAAACTTCTCAAACCTGTGGGCTGTGCCAAGGCCCATCCTAGTAAAAGAAAATCTACAGGCGTTAACAAATGTAAACATTTTAGAGTCAGTAAGAGGCCAAGGGAGACCAGTGAGCCTGGCCCTTGTCCCCACAAATGAGAACTGTGAGGACCAAGAGGTGAGTGAGAATTGTTGACCAAGGTCGCACAGCCCGGGCTGCGTCAGACCAGCTCAGAACCCAGGTCCCTCGACAGACTGTCACAGCCTCCGGGTCCTTCAGACAGGCTCCCGGCCCTATAGACCTTCCAAGTGCGGGTGTGAACCAATCCACACGTTTCACTAGGAGACACGGTCTGAGCGAGAAAACTGATGCAACGAGGAGGAAGGAGGAGGGGGGTACAGCGCTCTGGTGGTGGAGTCCCCTCGGTCTCCAGCGTGGAGGCTCACACCTCTTCTCCCTGGGACTCGCTTTCCTCAGCAGCCTGCTCCCTGACTCGTGCCTCTCCTCCCTTCCGCTCCCACGTTACCTCCTGAAAAGGCTTTCCTCGACCACCCTTCCAAAGGGTCCGCCACTTACCTACGCCCACAGGCTCTCCCTTGTTCCCAGTTGTTCTTCAGAACACGTGCCTCTACTTGACGTTGTTACGCACACGTGCATGTGGGGTGCGCATGCGCAGGCATACCCACTTGCGCGTGCGTACATACTCATGTGCGTGCGCACGTGCACAGACACCCCCCGCCCCGTTGACATTTTGCTGTTTTGATTGTTGTCAGTGTCCCCTCGAGGATGTAAACTCAAATGAGTTCAGATTAGCAACTAATCCCCAGTACCCAGAAGTGTCTGATACATAGAAGATGCCCAATAAAAATACAATTGATAAAGGAAAGACCATGGCTTCAAGTCCTGATTGATCTGTAAAATGAATTGTTGTAAAGATTAAAATTAATAAAAATTAAATAATATATGCAAAATCACTCTGCCACCTATATATATATAAAAAAATGAAAGGAGTTAGGTTAGATTAAAGGACATATTTAGTGCCTATGCACAGAGTGGAGAACTGTTAATTGATAGCAAAAACAAGAGGCTTCGTTGTGACAATAATTAGCATCTATTTGTATTGATTTGTTTATTTTGTTTTATCCCTTCCTGTTCAAACAAAACAAAACAAAAATACCTGCTGCAGGCACATAAGGATACATATACTTCAGCAGGATCCCATACACTAAGAGTGTGTGCATGATACACTGACTGGGGCAGCAGCTAAAACCAGAATGAAACAGCTCATCTGGTAGGTACAAAGTTGACTCAGAAATGTCAGAAACATTCCCTGTTTACCAAATGAATTAATTAAAGCTGGTGAGCAAGAAAGCAAAGGAAAAACGAGAAGAGGAAAATAAACGAAGCCAGAGAAGTGGCTGTTACCTAAGAAGTAGACCATGGATGATGAGAAACCTGATTTCCACAGCATGTGTCCTCAGGGCTGGGCTGTGAGGCCCCCAGTAGAGTCCAGGATCTGGGGACGGGAACTTTCCACACTGGAGCTTTTTTCTGTTAATACACAGTTGGTCTTGAAGACTTAACTAAATTTTTAAAATTTCTTTCTCTCTCTTGATACTTTTCATCAGTTTTAAGTCAGGAAATTCAAAGATTCTGACTTTAATATTTCCCAGTTTTTCAGTAAAATTTTTAAAAACTTACAAATTAAGAAAAGTGGGGCACATTCTAAATAAAGGTAACCCCATGAGATTGAGACAATGGGAACAGTTCTGGGAAACTGACCTCAAAAAGAAAACACATACATTGTTTCACTTAGAGATCTTGTTCCCCTTAAATTTTCTAAAGAAAGCAGAGATCTCTCATGCTTGCCAATGACCTGGAAAGTTAACCACACCTCAGAATGGCTATTTTTGGCTCCATCTTTAAAAGCATACAGAATTCACCATTAGAAAAAAACAAAAGGCTTTCACGGTTTCAGTGATGGGTTCTCCAAGGTCCTGGCTTCCTGGACATGAAAGTGTCCTGACAAACAGCTTCTTGTCACCCTGCCTCTCAGCATAAGCCCCCCTGGATGCAGTGGAGGGGCCTGGTCTCCCTTGAGTAGGACGACAAACTTCTCTTTTCCTTCAATCCTCTGTAAATGTTATGCACGAAAGAGTCCTCAGTCTTTCCAAAGCTGGTTTTCCAGCCAAAGGAAGACAAAAATTTGGTCCGAATTATAAGAGCCTTAGACCACTCTAAAGAGTAGAAAGACATGACTGGAATATTGTTTGAATGGAAGAGATGGTTGAGGAGCCACTTAAGAAAAGGGGTATTCGCAGGGAACCACCCCAAGCTGGAGTTAAAGCGGCCAGGAACACCAGACTCCTGAATCCTCACGCTGGCAGTTAGTAAGGCAATCTCAGACAAGTTGCTGATCTCTCCGAATCTCAGTTAGCTCACCTGTGAAATGAACATATCACTTCTGTCCCAGTTGCCTGCTGGAGTCAAGGAGAAAATGGACAAGAAAGGATTCACAAACCATTATTATTAGAAATTGACAAGTATTATAATAACCCATATTCCACCATCTCCAGCAAGAATTAAAAGAAAGTATGATAGCTACCACGTCTGGGCACCTGCTTCCTATAATGCTTTTCCATCTTTATGTTCCAAGCCTTACAATAGAGTCATAATTACCCCTTTTGACAAGGGAGGGGGAACTGAGAACCAGAGAGAGGGAGTGACCCCCTCCAAAGTGCATTCAGCCATTAAAACGCGGATGGGGACTGGAGCTCTCCGTCCAACTTCTAGGCTTTGTGAACCAGTCAGTCTTTAATGAAGAGGAAAGGGGCAAAAATGATACATTAGGGGTTAAGGTAAAAAAAAAATGACAGAGGTACAGAGGTGGTAGCAAAAAATCTAAGAGGGTTCCTGAGGAAGACTGTTGAACTTTTATTTAAAATATTTAAAATTTTATTTTAAGATTTTATTTATTTATTTACTTTAGAGAGAGAGAGTGTGTGAGCAGGGAGAGGGGCAGAGGGAGAGAAAAACTCAAGCAGACTCCCCACTGAGCATGGAGCCAGATGTGGGGCTCAATCCCAGGACCCTCGGGATCACAACCTAAGCCAAAATCAAGAGGAACTGTGGCCCTGGGTAGGCTGGCAGGAAGGGTGCCCCTAAATCCCTGGCTTAGTGCCTGGCAAAGCCACATGAGCATGCATGGCACAGCGGCCAGCCAGGGCCCAGTTCCTAAGAAGAGAGGATGGGAGGCAGGGAAAGGCAGGTGCAGAATGTGAAGCTCACCTCAGGGCTGCACTTGGCTCCTGCGGGAGCAGTGCACATAGGGAACAAGCAGCCTGCCAGGAGGGGACAGGCTGAATTCTCTCCCTATGGTAATTGAACCAATCTGTGGTCTGGGTGGCCCTGTGTACATGCAGACATCTTCGTTGGCTTGTCCCACTCTCATTTTCTCTCCCTCCTTCTTGAGTTTCTTTCTCTTCCTTGACCTTGCTGGCCTCCTTATTTCTTGTGCACGCGTTCCCGCTTTCCCTCCTGCCTCCTCCCTTTCCGCCACTCTGACAGACTATATCAGCGAATCCCTCAACAGAGTCATATCTAACTTTTTTATTCATTGCATGATTTATTTTTAGCCTGAAACAACTGCATCCTAAAAATGGAGTTCCTGATGAGACAGGGGCTGGGCCAAGCTATGCGAGGTATCTGGGGCTTGGCCGCTCAGCCTGGCCCTCAGTCTCCGCACGCATGTGTCCTGAGCCCACGAGTACTGCTAGTTGGAGCCCAGGCGGTGGGGAGTCAGTCCTCAGGCCCAGAAGGGACAGAGGGGAGGGACCAAATCCGCCTCTCTGCTCCCTACTTCCCTCAACCAGTCCTCTGAGAGTCTTCCGTCTGCTTTCCCGTACTCAGTCTTTCTGGGAAAGTAAAACTAAACTTTTCCCAGATGAAGAGAACGCATCTGTTCATCGTGGGGCTTTACCTGCTGTCCTCCTGCCAGGCAGAAGAGGGGCTCAACTTCCCCACGTATGATGGCAAGGACCGCGTGGTAAGTCTCACTGAGAAGAACTTCAAGCAGGTTTTGAAGAAATACAGCATGCTTTGCCTCTACTACCACGAGTCCGTGTCTTCCGACAAAGTCGCACAGAAACAGTTCCAGCTGAAAGAAATTGTGCTCGAGGTAAGCAGGGGGCCTGCTGACTACGTTGTCCCAGTGAGCACAGGCTGACCAGCGGCTGGGACGCGGGAACGCGGGTGCGGAGACTCTGTCCTGAAGTCTGGCTGCATTTTAGTCTGGTTTGCATCTGAAGATATTCTTGTTGCAAAGCTGGGCTGTGGGAAGAGCAAAGGGTGGGTCCCGGCTCCGAAAATGAGGGCAATTAGACGTGTTGTACAAGGCACAGTTCTGACTTAAACTCTGTCACATGATGGTCCTCTTGACTTTTCAAGGGCAATAGTCCCAAGCAACTCTTTTTCTGAGATAATGTTAAAGCTATCATGGAGAAGCCTGGCTGAAATGCAATTCAGAGATGATTTGTGGGTTTCATCCGTTGTGCTAACTCCCCGCCTCTGCTCCCTGAAGTTTCCCCACAATCCTGGAGAGACAGGAGGCATTTGACCTTGCTTCCCTCCATGGGTCAGATGGGGAATATCACAAAGTGATCTTCGCCTCTTGTGATTTGGGGTCAGTCAACATTGCACAGAGTACATGTGTGAAGATCTGTAGCTGCACGTTAATTAACGGGGATTTTTTTTTTTTTTCCTCAGAAAGTTCTTGGTGTGTGTTCAGGGCAGATGCTGAAGTCAGTTCTTATTTTATCTGCATTACATGGCCTGTTTGTGAGCCTGGCACAGGGGCCCATTCTATAATCCTTGGTGAATGCCCCAAGGCTGATTCCTGCAGCACCTCCTGGACAGTGTAAGGTTGCTTACACTTCGGGAGCACCTGTGAATGCCAGGAATTCTAGTAGTCACCAAGATGCCTTCTCAGCCCCATGCTCAACCCAGGCATAAACCTGGGGACAGGGCTATTTGGAAATCACAGCAGCTTATTAACTAGCACATCAGAAAGCTCAGCTTAATCAAATACTTCGATTGACAGAGTTACCATATATCAAACACATGTAGATTTGAATCCCCCTTCCAAAATAGATTCTAATAAATTCCGTGAAAACCATCTCAAATATAGTAAAATATCTTTGGTAATTTAAAAAGTACTTCAGAATCCTAAGTGTCTTCTGATCATCATACAAACACCTATTTTCAGAGCTCTTCTGTAGGGTGGTGTGGTTGTTACAGAGAGCTTGGGTTGACAAAGAGCTAAGCATTTTAAAAATATCATCACTACCATCATATTTTTCCTCAGGCTTATCCTGGGGGCTGGAAGTGGAAATTCAGTTCCCTCTATGGGTTGCAAGCAAAGAGAAAGCAGGGACAGTTTTTAGATCTTTGTACTATATGTGGGAACATCAGAGGCTGGAAAAAACCAGGGTGTATAGCATAGCTGCTGCTTAGCCCCTGAAATCCTCGCTCACATCATCACCTCTGTTTCAAACTGCCCTACTCAGTTATCGAGAGACATTTTTCTGAAAAAGTTCATTGAAGTCATAAGGATTCTACCCTATATGCTCATCACTGTCTGGTAGCCTAGAACTCAAAAAAAAATGCCAATACAATAATGACCTCCCATTTCTGATTCCCCAGCATATTAAAACACATACACACACTCCCTCAAGAACATATCTCCCCCCTGGGGCGCCTGGGTGGCTCAGTCGTTAAGCGTCTGCCTTCGGCTCAGGTCATGATCCCGGGGTCCTGGGATCGAGCCCCGCATCGGGCTCCCTGCTCGGCGGGAAGCCTGCTTCTCCCTCTCCCACTCCCCCTGCTTGTATTCCTTCTCTCGCTGTGTCTCTCTCTGTCAAATAAATAAATAAAATCTTTAAAAAAAAAAAAAAAAGAACATATCTCCCCCAAAGACCTAGGGCCAAGTAGACCTGAGAAGGGACTTTCCCCTGGGCTCACCATCCCTTCAGACACCTTTGATCCAAGAGTGCCTGGCAGACACCGATGGGACATAGGTGATGTCCCACAGGCTGTAAAAGTGAAGTGGACATCATCAGGGGGAGAAAGACACAGAACTTGGAGTCAGGAGATCTAGCTTATATTCTGGCTTTGCCTTTCCTGGGCACATGATATAGGGTAGGTTACTTAATTTCTCTGAGTCTCTTATCTATAAATAGGGAAAAATAATCATCATATACGTGTAAGAAATAATTAAATAATAATAATATTTATTGGATGTTTACTGTGTACGGAGACTGTTCTAAGCACTTTGGGTATGTTAGTGTGTTGAATCCTTACAGTATTTCTATGACATAGGCATAGTTCCTATCCCCATTTTACAGAGGGGGATATTGAAGCACAGAAGAGGGTAAGTTGTCCAGGGTCACTCAACTAGTGCAGGCGAAGGCGGTCTTAGCCCCTGCATTGCAATACTGCTGTAACCAAATGAGGTGATGTTTAGTTAGCTGTTAGATATCCTGCTGTGGATCCCTTATGGAAGAAGGGCAAACAAAAAGCTACAGTGCAAGGGGGTCTTTGTAATAGTAAAGCGAGTTCTAAGGTTCTCTGGGAGCTCAAAGAGCAAAAGCCCGGCTCTCTGGCGGAGATGTGGAAGGCATGACAAGGAAGAACTGGTTTGTGACAATGAGTAGAATTTACCAGGCAATAAGCAAGGGCTGGGGAAGGAACGGCAAGAGCAAGGATTCTGAGAGCAATCAAGTATTTCCTCACCAGATTTTCCTAAAATTTGGCCATGAGGGCCTCATTCCTTTAGGGTAGGGTTTTTGTCCCTACTTGGTTAAGGCCCTATGGGCAAGTCCTTTAAAATGTTGCCAATCACTTGTACCTGCTTCCGACCAAGTTTGAGTCCTGAGTGAGAACAAGGTTTGATAAGCGGAAGGGAAGTAGGGAAACAATGTAAGTTCACTAAAAGCTTGGGCAGAAAAAGGGCCAGTAAAATGACACCAGGAGGCACCAAGCTCAAACTGCTGTCCAGTTTGGCTGGGTCTAGCTCTAGAAGGCACCAGAGGTGGTGTGGTCCAGCTCTAGAAGGCACCAGGGGTGGTGTGGTCCAGCTCTGGAAGGCACCAGGGGTGGTGTGGTCCAGCTCTGGAAGGCACCAGGGGTGATGCAGGGTACATAGTTTGGTGGAGGTGTTCTGTAGAGGCTTGCTGAATGAATGACATGTCAGATGAAATGTTGCCTTGAGAACCACCTAGATTGTTCTGAACTCTTTACTTCAGAGTTGTGGCTTTGTAGTGATGGGACTCAAGCAGCTGGTAATCCTGATTCCTGGTTGGGCATTTCATCCACAAAATAGCACATACTCACTGAGAAATGTCAGAATACATGGAAAAGAAAAAGAAAGGCAATAGAAATCGATGCAGAAAGAAACACAGTTCATATCCTGAGAGATTTCTCTCCCATATTTTCTGTCTATATGTAAACATACATTTTTCAATGGGTTTGTACCATTTATACGGTTTTGTTTCCTGCTTTTTTCATTTCAATATATTGTGAGTATTCTTGTGTCATTACAGAGTTTTATATTCTTGACAAACATAATGTTAATGCTGGCCTAGCATTCTATTGTATGACCATGCATATTTTTAAGACAATTGGCCTATTTGGGATGTTGACACATTTTTCAGAGTTTTAAAAATCTTTGTTTAGATTTTCGTTGTATAGTTTTAATGGAAATTCTTTGACTTTTTTTTAGCTAGGTGGAATTTTTTCCATAAAATTATCTGCCATTTACATTTTTTTCTCCCATGAATTATTTTTCTGTGCCTTTCCGCCAGTTTTCTACTGAGGTGTCAATACCATTATAAAGGGAGTTGCAATTTTATATGCTGTCAAGACAGTACACGGAGTTACACCGCAGTGGCCAAATTCTATTAGCATCACAGAACTCAGACCCAAGAGGGGGATCTGCCCAATGATTTCAATTCCTCCTTGCTCTTTTGTTTCTTGCTTCTACTTCCCCCTTGAAACTGTAGTGCAATCCACTGCTGCTATCATGTGTTGCCAGAGGGAGTCCTCCAACGTCATCGATCTCTTTCAGGTTGGAACGCTTGAGAGGTGGTATGCTCCAAAACATGGGCTTCCGAATCAGATAGACTTGGGTCTAGTTCCCAAGGAAGAAATCTGTCTGCGTTCAGGCTCCTTGTTTGTAAGGTGGAGACAGTGGTGGTGTGACGATGAGTTAGCATGGCAAGAGCATGTCACGTACCTTCCAGGCACATGGAAGGTACGCAACAACTATTGGCAACTTGCAGCCCACACTCCCCTCTGCAGTGATAATTTTAGACACCACCCAGCCTAACCCCATCTCTTTACAGACTGAGGACACCAGGCCACTTGCAGAGAGCTTAGGACTGGTAACATGGTGCCATGTTGCTTATTCACAGCCAGCTAAGCCCCAGAGAGCAGGAAGGACTTGCCCTTGCTCACAGATTCTTGATGTCTGCCCCCCATGTGCAGCTCTCCTTCTGATCTCCAAGGCTTTGCTGAGTCTGTGCTTGATACACTCAGCCACTTTGCCCACGCCATTCATGAGCTAGGCCCCTTCCACATTCTCAGTCACAGTGCAGTCTATCTTTGAAGGGTGCTTCCAGTTTCCTTCCAGCTCCTTCTAACTTACTCTTTCTCTCCACGGAGACATATGTTAAAGTTCTCCCTCTGGATTGGAAGCTTCCCGGGGGCAACCTGAATTCAAAGAAAACTTGGTGATAGAAGAAGTGGAAAAAGCAAATGGAATCAAATTCATATGGTCAAGGACCAAAATCTGATTGTGAGTCAAAAACACAGCTGGATGAATGATCTGGGGGTGTGACAATGTGGCAGAAATGTACTTGGATGGCAGAAGGAGTCTGAGCGGGCTGTGCATAAGCTATATGGCATCCACATTAGGAATACCTGAGCTCCCTGGAAATGGCATGCTAAACACCCAACCCGGGTATGGGAACTGTTTACTTCTTCCTGCCCTGCCTGCCTTCACACAGATATTATCCCCAAGTCCAAGGCCCACTTCCTTTCCTCTGTACCACTCCCCTTCCAGGAAAACAGCATTCCAGCCTGACTAAGAAGAAAGGAAAAAGGACCAAAACTTTTTCCTAG